CTGCTTCGCAAAATGGCCTCAATAAAATAGGTGTAAAAGCACTTAAAGAACAAAACGCTTGAGAAGGGTATTTAAGGGAAAGCAATTAAGGATTATTTAAGAAGAGCAGAAGATATCCCGGAAGACAACAGCTGCTCCAGTGCGAATGCCCACAAGTAATGCAAGAATACAAATATTTTTAGGGATAAAGTGTTTTAACAGGTAGCAGCTACCCCTTTGGCTGGATTCAGTCGTTATTAAGAATATCAAGACCGCCTGGACAATCGGTGTAGGTATCCCATGTTAGTATGGTATTGATGAAGTGCTTGAATCTTCACAATGCAAGAATAAAAGTGTCCATCATCAAACAAATTTCAAACTTATCTACGCAAAAGCAGTATAAAAACCGTAAGAAACTTTGCCAGTAGAATATTTATAATTTATATATTTTTCTTCTTGAACTTGAAAGAATCTTCCGAATCTTGCTGCTTTTCGCTGGACTTCTGCGACATCGGGAATAACTTTAGGAAACCTCAGCAAAGCATCGTTTTCAATTTTTTCTAGATGACTGCGGTTAAATTTAGCAATTTTGTCATAACCCTCAGCTACTTTCAGCGGAGCCTGATATCATCCATGTAATTAAATCAAATTTACTTGAAATCAGAGATCATGAATTCGGGGCTTTTTATAATTCCTCCGGCCAGTGTAATTTTAAAATTTCAGCTTCCAGCTTTCTGTGAGTGGCCAGTTCGATCTCATCATGGAAAATTTTTTTGGTGTGCGTTTGTAAAAACGAAAAATTAGCGAGATCAACACTGCTCGGATAGTTGGTATATTTCTTGCTAGTGACGTCATACGTTGGGTACATCTACGATACTGAGCTGCATTCCTCCAGTTTTGGTACTCGTCGCTTATTCGGTGCACGTGCGCCATCTCTTTCATGACCGCCCGTGCGGTCGTTTACTTTTTGGCGAATATTACTTACTGACGACATGCAACGTCTATCGATTCAGATTTGACTAGAATGAGACATCTCTTGTATTTTATGTTTTAGAATTGTGAAAAACAAATAGGTGATGAGCATTAACCAGATACAGGTAGTACGGGATCATAAGACCTGACATAACTGCGTCCGACGCGTAACAACATTTCAGTAATTTCTCTAACATTTCTGCATAGTTTTGGCATTTCTGGTTATAAAAACAATCTTCATTTGCAATATTTTATAACTACAGTATTTGTTGTTATATAATAACTACAATATTTTATATATAATATTTATTGTTTATGCTGTTTAACTAGTGAACGAAGAAGTGTCTCCCAACACATTGCCCCTTACCTAATATTTTTCTAAAAAAATGCTTTTCATATCGAAAAAGTCTTCCTTTCAGACCAAATCACTGTTCATTAATCTTGATTCCAAGCAGCCTTTTTTCACTTTCAGTTTACATCTGCTTTCGCCTCTTCAGCAGTTGAGAACATTCCCATAAATCATTTAGGATTTATTGCCGAACGCCCACCAAGGAGCTCCGCTTGTGCTCGGAGGAAAAATTTCACCTGCAGCCTCAGTGTTAAATGTTTGTTTCTGTAGAAATTATCCAGGCAGCTGATTTTCGATGAAAAAGGAAATATATGTTTCGAAACTTTCATGATCAGTGCATCCGAGTAACATCACTGATATGAGATACTCACACTGGTTGTCAAAACGGTCAGGTTTTCCGATGTATCAGAAATTAGACACAGAAATGTAGGAGTTGTGTAAGCAAAAGCAAAGCAAATCCAACTACTTGGAGAAGTGTAAAAATGTACAGTTTCCCAGGATGATAAATCGCACTTCGTGGAATTCAGCTATGAAATCGAAAGGCTAAAAATGCTAAGAAAACGATCTGGGCTTCACCTCTTGCACCTTCACTTTTCTCGAATTTTTCAGTGTTTCATAAATTCGAATCTCTAACCCATTTAAGACGAACAATATCATAAGGAAATCAGTCAACTGGGTGATAGCTGACCCTTGGCCAATTGCTAAAAGTGTTTACGAACAAAGAATGCTTCCAATGGATAAACCAAAGCTCTATCTAATCAGCACTCATCTCGAAGCTGTTCAATCTTCTTCAATTAACATTCGTCTCGGTGCCGAACCAGAGACACAATTAATCATTCGAATTTATTACGAAGGACCAGCTGCGGTTCACTAGCCACTATCATCAATCATAGCACCAGAGCAAAGAAAAACTGGGTCGGAAATTCAGGACTCAAATTTTTGTTTAAACTAAAATGCCTCTTGGGAAAAAAAGCCTCGTCCTTCAGTTCGAGAACGATCGCCAACTTCAGTGTTTCATTGAGCAAACTTACATAATCAACTCTACAAAGAGGAGAAAAAGCTCCTACAAGAAGCGGTAATCACCCATCGGAAGCACTTCCAATAACCCTCACCTCCACTAAAAGAAAGGTATAAATGACGACACCAGTGCAAGGATACCGGAACGAAAATAAAGGAACAACCTAAGAATCATGTATAACGAAGACTTTTCCAGAAAGCATGTCTAAAAACAGCAGGACACCGCAGCAGCAGAACGCGGGAAGATTCAAATATCGCATGCCGAGTAAAGTTAAGTGAGTTGAAGCTTCCGGAAGCAGTTAAATTTGAATTTTGAAGGTTGCGCGCATATAATAGCTCTCTTGTTTTGTCGCACATTTGGTAATCTAACAAATTTTATTAAATGTTATACAAAACAAAAACACATTTACAATTAATAATAAACACAACTTTTACACCTAAAAAAAGAAAAAGACACTATTACAAAAACAATACGCAAGCAGGGTAAAAAACACTACAAAAATAACACTCCATACACTAAAACTAAATGAAAAAAACACGGCAACTTATATACATATACAGAAACAATGAAAAACACTACTAAAACAATTATATATGAAAAAACTTAGACGCCTAGATCAAAGCAGTGCTACAAAGCCATATATGAATGCACACATTATCAAAAAATTATACATCCAGCAGAAGCGCAAAATTATTAATTAAATTCTAACATTACTGGAACCCTATACAAAGCCACAAAAACAAAATCACCATCAGTGTGCGCCACTTCCTGTGTCCAGCACTGCTCACAGAATGCAGCAAACGCGCTGAGAACGGGGATGCCGAGACATCACGATGCATTTCCTCCTCGCGAAGCGCATCCCCTGTTCTTTACTGCATTGTTCATCATCTCGCGGGCAACATGCAGCAGGCCCGCGGATTCGCGGACGGCATTCCGCTGTGCCTGAAAATTGATTTTACGTCAATTTCACACCAGCAATATGGCCAGTCCAGCAAACATTCAGGATGACGCAACAACACTTCTCTCATGAGGAATTTTGACGTCAGAACGGCCAACAAAATTCATATCCCCTACCGCCCTCCCCTCCCATCGCTACCGCCAACAGCTGTTCTCCGACTCATGTCAGAAACCACGTTTCGCATCTATACGTCACTACTTTTCACCAAAAAGTGCCAAAACGTAAAAAATGCATAAATACCAAAAATGCAAATAACGATTTAGTACAAGGCAACAATCCTTACATGATGGGCAGCATCTTTCCGCTGATCGGCCTGTTTGTTACCGGGGAACGTGAAGTGGGCCAAGCACTGGGCAAATGAAAGGCGTGCTGGCCATGCATTTCTTTTCACTGCCCCTCAAAACGAGGCAAAGCAGTGCATCTGAAAAAGAGAGACAATTAGGCACAGCGCGCAAAATCCACTGGAATGGCACAATGCAATAGGCCAAAATTGCTTTCAAATCTGCTTCTGAGTAAAAAGTCGTCCGCATCGCTGCCAGTGACTGGCTTCTGTTGGTAAAATGGCATTAAGTATGGCTTCTGCGTACTTCTGCCTTTTATAAAAAGTCATATATCGAAGAAATCTTATTTTTTTATGCATTTTTTTGCATCTATGCAATGCAGAAAACGTATATTGACGGGAGCTGTCTATGTTAGTGTCTCTGTGTGTGTGCGCGTCTGCACCGATTTTTATACAATAAAAACAACGCTACTCATAACTCTCTGATTTATTGTTGCTTGGAGAAGGGTAAAAAGAAGTTTAACGGCTAATAACTATTTACCTGGCTTCGTTTCACTGCCAAAATCATTATGAACTTCCGGAATCAATAGCTTCCAAACGTATCTTCGACGGGCGCATCTACCTTTATTTCGTTGTTAACACTGCGAATCTCCTCGATTCTGACAATGTCAGTTTCCTCTTTCGGACGCTTTTTAGTGGCATACAAAGCGTCGCGTAATCCATTCAGCGCAGTTGGTTCCTGAAACTACAACTGTTAAAAGTTGTAATAAAATATAGGCACCCCCTCCCTTCCGCAGCCCTAAAACAATCACTTCTACATCAAACGTAGGCGTCACGGCTCGAACAAGTTTATATGGTTGGATAATTTAGCTTTGAAACTGCAGAGTCGTAAGAATCCCCTTTTCTTCCGTTACGACCTCGGCCACCTAAACTGACATTCTCAGTGCCCACATCCCCCACCCATTTCTACTTTTTCCTCGTCATCCGATAACAGTACACCAACCCCCCCCCCCCCCCCCCCC